GTCTTCTCCACATTTAGAAGCAGCTTTATCTTCTCTCTGTTAAAGGACAGTCACATTTTTTCCGTGGTGAAAGAGCTGCCTCTCATACAGCACGTCCAGATGGATATAATTCAACCCCTTCAATCTGAGGAGGCTGCTCAGATGATTCAAGGCTGCATTAATCCTGAAAACGCACAACTCCCTGTCCCGACCCCAACACAAACCCTGAGTAAGGCTGATGAATTGCCAAATGACGTACAGCTTGTCTCTGGGGATATCTTGAAAAGGAATGAAAGTATGTGGGATATGGAGTCAACACGAAACATGGTTGATGGTAATGTGAAACAAGGAGATGAACTTATTACAAAGCGGTTGCAACTGAAGCACAGCAGTGTGAAAGAGGTTACCTGTGAACTTAAAAACTCAAAAACAGTTCAAATTTTCATTCAAACGTTGATAAAATTTCCCGATTCCCTTGCAAACCTGCAAAATCTGCCACCCCAAAGCATGATGGACCATCTACAGTCTGTTATCTCCACTTCAGGCCTCCCAACTCAGAAGATTCTTACTCTCTACTGGCTGAACGTAGCTAAATGCAACCAACCAGAGCCGCAGTCTGCCCTCTTGATCCTGATGGAATCTGCGCTTTACACACTAACCTCTGAATCTGGTCTCTTAGTTTGGTTCCATCACCTCCCTTTGTGTCAGTTGAAGGACATTCAGATAGGCCTAGCAGGCCAAAGTCTGCGTTTGATAAGTGCTACAGAAGAAAGCGTCCTTGTTGTCTATACCTACAGCCAAAAGCATACTCAGTTGCTGTGTAGGGCCATACTTAATATAATCTGCCCTGGGGACTGCAGGGTACCTCAGCACCCACTGCTGCATGGAAACTTGGCACAGATGTCTTTAGGCTGGCGGGTCAGTGTACCTGAGCTGCTGCTGGATGCTGGTTTAAGGGTTTGCTGTCAATTTCAGAAGAGTCTTGCCGATCTGATATACCTTCTTCATTGTAACATGAATCACGAAACCGTCACTCTGGGAGAGGTGCAGCTGAAACTTTACACAAGTGTAGCAGTGCATATCAGTCCTAGTACCCACAGTAAGCACGTGGCTCAGTTTTTACTTACAGATACACACCTCGGTCTGGTACGAGAGGATGCTGTCTGCCACTCACTTTCACACTCTGTCACCACAGCTCCCTGCCGTCCCCACTTCCACGGCTTAACTCTTCGGTGGTGCTCGGATGTTCGCTGCATACTGGTGCACGACGAAAACGAGAACCGGCCTGTCAGGCTGGATGTAATCTTTGCAAAAGCACAGGGCAGGGGTCACCCTGAAAGCGTGACTAAGGCAGCTACCCCGAGTGCACATGCTTTAAATTCATCTCCGCGTGCAGAAGTGTGGAAATTAACTTTCAGTTGCTCCGCTGAGGCCGCCCGGCTGATTAATCACTTGTCAAATGTCTGATCAAGGACTGAACGGCCAGTAATGAACAGCCCAGCTTGAAAACTCACTCACAGGGAGCAAAAGTGCATCCCAAGCAGACAGCGCAAAGAATCTTTTTTTTTTTTTTCCGCTATGAAATTACAATGAAAATGTGAAGTTTGCTTTTTTTAAAAGTTTGTTATATTAATGTTGTGTGACTTTGGCACTTGGAAGATTTTATCTTTAAAACGCTTGAATTTCTTTGTTCTTGCATTGATGTCTTTAAAAAAATAGTTTGAAGGTCTAGCACTGAAGATCAAAGAAGTGTGCTTAGCAGTTTTATTTGTTTTAATAGACATTTAATGTTTTTGAAGCCTTTTAAATGTCTCGTGTGACCAAATTCTTAAGATGACTTGCATTGTTTGTGTATTTATTATTCATTTTCAACATTCTAATATTTTCCATTTTTCAATAAATCCCTGGATATGTTAAAGTAAAATAAATGCTTCCAAAGTTTGTTTTTTACCACTTAAAATGCAGATGAGCTCTTATGGTTGAGACTTGAAATGCAGACAGCAAAAATAGCTTGATGCATTTTATTGCTTTCTTTAATGTCTGTCATTTTGTCTTCCTATTATCTCTTTTTGGCTCTCTTTGTGTCTCCACTCATTTTTACTTTCGGCCCAGTCTCTTTACTTTGCATAAACCTGTGCCTGTGCCCCCACTGGATGTAGGAGTCTCAACTGCAACTGAGCAATCTGTTTCTGAGGTCAAGTTGTAGTTGTACTACCTGTACAATTGGTCAATGGTTTTACTTCTGCCAGTCAACACTGCACTTGATGACAAGCCTTGTAGAAGAACTAAAATTACAGATGGTTTCTCATGCTGTGTCTCCGGGAAAAAACTCGAGTTTAAATCACATTTCAAGGGTTAAAGCCAAAGATTGTGCTCCTTTTCTTGACTGAGTGACCCCATCCAAGAAGGAAAATTGCAGGGGCAATATAGTGCAATCAATCCCCTTGTCTGCTCCAGCATGAATGATGGAGATTTGGGCTCGACTCAAACTCCTCACACCTTGTAGCAAAGCGGATTGGGCCAGAATGAAAGCTCGGGGGATGTAAAAGATTTTCTCCCTTTTTGCTTGACAGTTAATTAGCATTCAAACGATCTAGTGTATATCAAACTTTCTTGCGAATAAAACACAAAAGGCAGACGGATCATAATCTCATGTATTGAAAATGTGGCTTGTTTCTTACATGCCACACAAAGATTAGTGTTTAGGATTTTCATTTACACATTTTCACATAAGATCAAGGCTAATTTATTGCAAATATTGTCACAGGTTATGGCTCGTTTATATTAAACTGCAAATTGAGACTTTCCTCTTGCAGATTAGTTAATAAATTCTGCCAAATTCTGATAATGGCTTTAAAATAAATTCTCCATCCAGTATCACATAACACTTATTATTAAAACTTGGGGAACTGTACTCATTATTGTGCTTTTCCATGTTTGATGTAGGCTGGTTTCCTCCTTGCAGCATTTGGCTGACATCTGAATAACCTTGCATCTGTATTGTGCATGATGCCTCTTTTTTGGTTTTCATGTAATTCTTCAGGATTGACAGTTGAATCTGGATAAATTTTTAAAGAAATCACATATTTTTCTGTTAATCGTGAAACACGGCTAATCTACTATCTCTGCATGTTTGTATATCAATGGACAGGAGCGCTTGTTGTGCACAGCCTGGTTAAAGGAAGCACTCACTCTGACAGCTGATACTTTCCCACTGACAGGCTTTGAATGTCTAGTGATTATAGTGTGATGTCCTACTGGGTTCTCCGGCCTTAAAATGCACCACGTTTGATGGCACATAACAGTAATTTGTTTACCACCTCTTTTAGAATCATGAGAACGTGACCTAGGCAGTTTGGACTCTGCTTAGCTGTAACGGGCTAAATCTTTAAGGCTATTTTGATCTTTCCAGCCCCACAGTAGCCCCATTAGTTCGACTGAGTTGTTTTGTTTTTCACAGATTTTGGAGACTAGTTTTTACCCTACTGCATGGTGCTAAATTGGTCCTGAGGATGTTTATATAATGTTTTATAATTAAATTTGTTTCTCACTGACAAACTACCCCCATCTCCTTTAGTTTCTGTTGCCTGGAGAGTCTGTTTCCCACTTACAAATTAGGATACTCTTGAATAAGAAAACATCTTGTTAAGCCAATAACCAATCTGTTGGAGAAGCTGGTTTGCAGGTTTAACCTGGTATTAACACCGTGTCTTTGGAAAACAGGCCAACAGATCAGCATCGAATACTGATAAAGTTGGTGGTCAGTTTTTTTTGTTTTGTTTTGTTTTATTTTATTGCAAGCCAACCTGTAAAACCTTGAAATAAATAAAGTGCTAATTATTAATTTTCAAAGTGCTTTTTTTTTTTTTTTTTAAAAGGTAATTTACAATAACCTTAAACACAGAGGATCAAAATTGTATTCGTGTCTGCCCATTGATGAAGACATGCATAAAATTAGGCGAGTACAGGATTTGATTTGCCTTTCCTTGGCTCTAGTGGGAGTGCTACTGCAAGCATGCGGTGCTTGAAGGCCAGACATTTCTTTGCCCGTGTACTCTGGTGATTTTTAAAGCTGCTTGTTTGGCTACTTAAGCATTTTCTTAAACTAAGAAGAAAAAACACATCTATGTTTCACTATCACGTTTCTAACTTTAACTATACACCTCTGGGACTTTCTTACTGGGCACTGACTGACTTAAATTGGTTGTGGCTACTCTGAACTGCTCAAGCTAGCTGCTAGCTACCTCAGTGCAAAAGTTGTAATGACACAATGATGTTTGTAATGTCAGGGCTGGTTGTCTTTTGGTTGTTAATACACCTTCATGCTATCATGCTGATGATTTAATAATGGGTTACATACCTTATGAGGTATATATCTTATACCTTAGGAGTATTTAAATTTGTGCTGCACACGCCCACTATTAAATGGCTAAATAATAAATGTCTGACTCTGATCATCTGTCAAATCTTCCAAAAAGTTATGTTTTCACTTTAAGTCTTTGACTGTTCTGGACTCGAGCTTTTTATTATGCTGGGTTTTATATCAAAGGGAAGGTGAAGCAGGTGTGGGCGGATTTTGAGATCACATGTATCCATTAAATGGGCACAAGTTACAAAATGCGATTCATGGAACCTGCTTAAGTAAAGTTTCTTATCCTTAGCTTAAGTTCCCTTAAGAGAAAAATCTTGAGACTTTAGTTCAGTGAAAATCTATAAACTTGTTTAACTTTTTTTTTTCCAATGAAAGAGGCTCCATTTATAATGTGCATTAACATATTTACCCAATCATTCATCTGCACCTCGGTGCACACCATTTTTTCATGTTATTTATCCTTGGAGGACTTCTCATTGATCTGATACTGAACTTTTTATAATTAACTCAGTGTGGGTATGTGAAGCAGTGGGAAACCTGGATATGTTTAGTATATTTAAAAACAAAAAGTCCCTTCAGTGCTGTTTTTGAAGGGTTCAATCCAGCTGAGTGATGGTCTGTGTCCAGTATATGCATCCATGCTTGTTTAAATTCATGCCACTCAATAGGAGGGCGATGTACTTAACTCTGTCACCATCCTGCCATCTAATGAAGTCTAGTGTTTGCCTGTAATGGCAGGTTTTATCCAGGCTTTTGATGGAACACGTTGGGAGGGGGGTGAATCTCAAAGGAAACGGACACAATGGTGACCTGAATGTCACTGGCAACTTTCGACTGCGCTCATTTGTGCCTGTGTGTCCGCGGGCCATAGAAAACTCTCTGCCCTCTAGAAGAATGAGTTTGTCACACAGTGTCATTTTTAAATTGGGCTCCATTTCTCCCTGCCCACCCCTGCTCAGTTTTGGACTTCACATGAGCTTCATTAGCATTTGCAGGAACTGCGAGACATTTACCACCATGGATTGTGACAGATTTCACAAGCTCAATTTTACTGTTGCCCCGGGGGGAGGGAAGAGAGAGTGCTCGCCATCTGTTGATTGTGACTGTACCCGGCACTTCCATAAGAGGCTTCCTTACCGCCATGGCTAATAGTCCAGTGACAGTTCTGGTCTATACACAAGAAGTGGAAAAACACTTAAGGTTTGATTTAACCAGACCTCCAGGCAAAAGCATGAATTTTTAGGGTTTTTTTTTTTTTAAATCAGCTTTTCATTGAGCTTATAAAACATGCATTCTTAATTTATTCGATGTCAAAGTTAATTTTAAAGTTTGCGATGAAATGTGACATTTAAATTTGACTTGTAAAAGCTAGCATTTCAGTCACTGCTCACTCTGATAATATTTAAGGCTAGAAAACTGGTAGTGGAGCGAAAACGTTTAATTTAGTCTTGATTTCTGTATCATGGCAGTACAGTTGAACTTTATGGTGTGCAGCTAAACTGTTGGCCACATGAATAACCAAGCTTGGCCCCTGCTGAACAAAATGACTGGCACAGGTAACAGGAGAGAGACTTTAGAGCGTATCAATGTTTGCGATGGCATAACAAAACAAACACCGTAGATGTTAATATACGAGCTCAAGAAGAACCGATTAAACACTTATTGCCAAAATATTCCTCAAGTGACTATTTAAGATGTTCATCTGTGTTTTTAATTGCTCCAGGGACCATTTTTGTTATACGGTAACCTCATTTAGTTTTCAATACACAAAAAGATTACTCTCACTGCTAATTAGCTTCAACTTAACAATTTGCTTGTATGGCCACCTTTTGTGCAACTCTTTTTCTTCTTTTTTTTTTCTTCCCACTAAATGTGCCGTGTACAAGCCGACATCAAAACGGCGGCCCAGATCATATTTTTCTGCTGCTGGCAGTGAAGTCTTTTGAGACCTGGAAAATTTCTGATCATGTTCTAATAAAAGGAGATGGAGGTGCTGTGCAGCGGGTCACAGAGAAGAGGAGCTGCTCTGAGTGGCTGCACTTTTAGAGGAGTTTCTGAAGACTCTCATAAAAGTTGGAAACAGAGAGATTTTCAG